AAATTTGTCTGTGATTGTGTAAATACTTACGCTATTGTGTACTTCACACACATGGAGAAATGCCAAACTGCCTTTCATTGTTCTTGTAACAGTGACAATAAAAGCTATTCTAATTCTAATTCAATTAAGGATGATACATATGTGATGTTCATGGCTAAGCAACAGTTTGTGTATGTAAATGATCTGTGTACATAAACGTTTCTGGAGCTTGAAAAGGACTGTGTGCCCATGTCATGCACCAGGATGAAATGATATTTGAAAAGTCAAATGACAGAAATGTAGTATCCATCTCCACTTTACGAAGTTCCAAACGGAGTAGTAAACTCCAGACACACAGAAACAGAGACAGACAAACCCATGCATGTATGAGCAAGAGCACAGAACACCACTGTTGGATTAAATGTTTTTATGAGAATTAACTTCATATTTGTTAAACTACACAATAACATTTTGAATAAATAGCTCTTTCCCACTGAATCTACTACATAAGTATGAAACTTAAATTTTGGTACCCTTATAACACAGGGCTACCATGAGGCAACAAAACAAATTTTGCTCGAGAGTGGAAGAGATATATTTCTTATTATTTTAACAGGGACCCCCAAGCACTTAAGAAATTAGGTTAAAGTTTTTTTTCTAAAAATAAAAAACAAAACTATATACCATAAAGGGTTATAACTTTCAATGTTTGTTATGTTTGGAATTGACAACTCACATTGAAACTGCAACATTTTATAATAGTATTGACTTGGGAATGCACCTGTAAAGGTTTGTGCCTCCAGGATCAAGGAGTAGAAAAGTAGACACTATGGGGACATGTTTAAAGACTCAGACAATAAATAAGTATTTAGTAACATTTAAAGCCTTATTTGTGCCATTTCAGTTACAAGCAACAGTATTATTTGATTGCGAGCTTTCTTTCAAATTATTGGTTAACAAATAATGTTTTAAACTTGCTTTTAATGATGTTTAAAAAAAATCCAGTTCATTAAAGGGGACATTAAAGTAAAGAAAAAGAAAAAGATGTTTTCAGGTCTTTTTTCCACTTGGATTTGAATTCAAGTGGAGTTTAAAGATTCATTAACCCTGTATTTATTCTTTTTGATGAAAGGAGTGCTTTAATTTTTTAAATATAAATCCAAACCAGTTGTAGCACTGTTATGTCTGGCTGAATACTCATCATGTATGTACACACATATATAGTACATTACGTCTGTGTGTTGAAAACACAGGGACTTTTAGTGGTGGTTCAGATGTGGGATAATAAGGATGAAATATATTCTGTTCTTTTGCCAAGTCTTACCTTCTGGAAGAGCTGTGGAGGAGCATCGACTTGACCATCTAATTTCCTTGTTATATCTAGAATTTGAATACATGAAAATGACTTGTTACACATAAAGTGGGCATTGTTGTAGTCACGTGTGTCAATAATTACTTGAAGATTTCAAGTAATTATTGACACACGTGACCCACATTCACACGGGACTGTTACTTGATCAACTATAACAATTTTCAAAATTCACAAGTTTTGATTCCTCGGACTCCTTACAAAGTGAGTGTGCCTACCAGATCGTTTGAAGCGGTGTCCAATGCTTCTTGACCAGCCTATATTATGGATAAGAGGGCTATACATGTGGCACCAGAAGTCATCAGCTCCACCCTGGCTCTCCTCATAGACCAACCTCAGGCGACCTCCAATCACTTGCTCTACCAGCGCCACCCGTGTCCGGCTGAGATAGTTCTTATCGACCACTTCGACTCGCATTAGCTTCTTAAAGGGAAATTGCATGTTTTGCTGTACCTTCAGTGAAAAATGAGTGACAGGTTTACCAAACCAAGATGAAATTTAACAGCCAAGGATGAACAGAAACAACAATGTTTTATTGTAATTTTAGGTTCAGCAAGAACACTTAAAAATAAAATAAATATATAAAATGCAGCTTTACAATACTGGGCTGATGCCTTACCATATCATTAAAGTTAGGTGGCAGTGTTTTAGCTCCAGTGAGGCGCTTCACAAGAAACGTTTTCCAGTTAGAGTACTTATGTTGTATGCCTGTAGAGAGCAGAAATAATTAACCATAGTGCTAAAGAAAACTTAAGTGATTTGTTTGTCAAAACACTCACTTTTTGGAGGTACGAGGGGTTTGCCACTTGAAGCACACCATCCCACAGGGTGAACTTCAGGTATGCAGAGGTTACACCAGAAGTCTTTACTTGTGTCACTGTCAAAGCCCTCATAACGCAGGAGAGCCTTGAACCCTGAAGAACAAGAGGAAACACTGTTAATGTGCGCACTAATTCTTGACATCAGAAACAGTAGATTGAAAAATTGACCACCATCTGCAGTCAGTTGGCTTATTCTATATTCAGCTTCTTGACTAGTTGGAGAAAAAAAATTTGATACAAAGACCGTATTCACATGTGGTATAAATAATGTGTTATTTCTCCTCACTGTTGGTGAGAAAACTTTATACTGTATCAATCCCCTTCCAAAGGTTTCTTTCTAAACAATCTCAGAAAATCACTTCTGTTTCAGTGCTGAATTTATTTAACAGCTCATAACAAAGCTGTCCGAAGTGAAGCCTTAGTGAAGGAATGGAAATCAGATTGTCCTGTACTTTACACATAGATGATAAATACATGTGTCAGCTAAACATACCAATGAATGTAAACATCTTATTTTTAAGGGGTTTTTTTTCAGCTCCTTCAGTGGGAGACTGCAGCACCCACAGTGTGGGATGGAGAGATTTCGCAGGTCTTTCCTCCCTACTGCTGTCAGACTCCACAATAAAGACTTTTGCAGTTGATCAAACCCTCACACGTGCAATAAGACTGCTATATGTGTAATTCTTGTGCAATTCTTCTTCTGACGAAGTTGTATTTTTGTATTTTCCTACTCAGTTGTATATAGTATTTGTATTTCTATTTTATTCTATTGTATATATTATTCTATTTTATTCTATTCTATTGTATATAGTATTTTATTGCATTCCAGTGTTTTCTAATTTCTGCTACATAACTGCACTTTTGCTGTAACAAAACAAATTTCCCACCTGTGGGACTAATAAAGGTCATCTTATCTTATCTTTTCCCCCTCTGATGTCAACTTGCACATTTTATTTGTTGGGATGTGGACTGTCACATGTGGAATGGGAGAAGGGGTTTGTTGCTTATTTCTTTGTTTATGGTAAAACTTAAAAATCAAATACAGACTTTTATTAGCTCAGGTAGAGGGATACATCTGGTACTTTCATCTATGTGTAGGTTTGTTGCCAGTATCGTCATCAACACAATTGCTGCCAGGACAAAGCAATAAACCTTGACAGATACGGGTCTGACTAATGAGGATGATATTGGCTCAATTGAGAATGAATTTTTAAACTATTTTAGTACTGGAATTAAAAAATAAAATCCAGCTATTCTTGCAGCATGTCAGTGCGTAGTATTAAGACCTAGAAAAACTTAAGGCTACAACTTTACAAGGTTGGGCGATATGTCAGATTTTTCCAACCGGCATTCGTCAGTCCAATAAATGACGATAGGTGATATATTTGCACAGGTCACTTTTTGATGGGCGGAGCAATGTAATCATGCACAGACTGATTTGCGTGTTTAGAATTTATATTTCACTTTCTTTTCTTGTTTGTTTCAGTATTAATATAGGTACGTTCTTGATTAGTGATTTGTTTATTTGAGAGGCACCAAATCGCACAAAAGACTTAACTTTACGTCAAGGATTTTTTTATGTTCGCTGGAAGAAACATTTTTTAACATACTTTTTGTATCTTGTTGTTTGGTCGAGTGTGTAAGACAGATAAACATTGGAAGAGCCTGTAAACACGGTTAAAGTGGAAAAAAGAAACCAGTTTTTCTTTGTTTCCCTGCCCAACATTGTATTTTTTTTATTTAAATAAAATGTTTTTGTTTTTTTCTGAACATAGTATACCGTCTTTCTTTCTTTCTGTTATGAGTTTGTGTAAATTGATCGCTGCATTTGGGGGCACGCTGAGGAGGGTGCCGTTAAAACAGCGCTATTGTTTTTGTTGACTTTTTCTCTTAGCTTCAACCAACATTATTAGCAAACTTACTAATGGGCAAATAAATAAATTGCTCTTGTAAAAACGATTGGCGAAAGGCTCAGCCTACTGTTGATGGTTGATAAATTCATCCAATCACCCAACCTTACTACACCGATTCTGAGTCAACTAGCAGCTGCAAGTTCTCTTTTATGTAAAGCCAAATGCCTCTCTTGTGGTTCACTGTCTCATCAACTGACAACTACTTGTTGTGGTTGTGGAAACAGCGAAACTAACTGTTCAAATGTTCAGTGTTACTTTTACATTGGACTTTGCATACATTTGCCATGTTGTGATATACTTATTCAGCATTAACACTTACTCCTAACAGAGTTCACAAAAATGAAAAGACACAAACACAATTAAAAACACCCCAAGGGTTGTGTGAGAGATTTTACCTTAATTACTTGTAGTGTTTACCTGCTAGCTTTATGATTTCTGCTATCCAGTACACCTTGGTGGAGAAGTTGGTATCAGAGTTGGGCACTTCAATCCTCACACCTACTTCAATATCTCCCCAACATGTTCCCATGGGGGCCTGAGGCACAGAAGTTATCAGCTATGATAATCATAGTATCATATCAGTGGTGACCATATTCTCAGCTCCAGCTACTTACATGCTTGAAACAGCTGACAGGAGCCCCCACCGTGTTACTGCTACAGATATACTGCCCCCAGTCAAAACTCTCTCCAGCGACCACTGACAGAAACAACAATTCGTTTGTTGCTTGTGTACATCAAAAAGAGCAGAAATATGAGCCCCATCATGATTGCTTTTTCATAGCCTACCCGCTTTCAGTTTGGCCTGGTTCTGTTGACTTGCTTGGTACTGGGCATAAGCTGCCAACTTTGCCATGAGAGGCTGTTTCTGTAAGACTTTGGCCTTTTTTGTTGGTGGTTTGCCCTTGTAAAAACCAAAGCAGATGTTAATATTTACATAATACAAAATTATGAAACTACTATACTTGTTTATCAAAGATAATGCATTTACCTGGAGTCTTGCCAAGATGCTAGCTTTTTTAGAATTTGAGGAATAACTCCTAGAACAGGACACACTGCAGAAACGCTTGGTTTTGGAGTAAAAAGCATCTCGTACACCGACCATCCCACACATCTCACAGGTGGCTGTGAAAACAAACCGAAATAGATCAGCAGTCTACAAATGGTAAATGGCATTTATAGTTATCTCCATAAGTATTTGGAAATTGACACAATTGCAATTTTTGCTCTGTACGTGGTAAACAGACTGGTTTTTATATAGCGCCTTTCTATTCTGAATACTAAAAGCTCTCTATACATCTTTCCTCATTCACATCCAATTGCACAAGCACTTTTTTCTAGGCACTTTCTACCCAACAGTCATACACATTCATTGTCCAGTGGATGCATCGGAGAACAACTTGGGGTTATTATCTTGGCCAAGGATATTTGGCATGTAGAATGGAGCAGAAGGGGGCCGAGCCACCCCATCACTACAGTGGATTTTAAATTAACCAAATGTGATACAAATGAAAATTTTCATCTTTAATTCAAAGGGTACCAAAAGTAATGCATTAACTGTTTAGGTAATTCAATATCTTGGCCAGGGATATTTGCACATATGAATGTTGAGGAGCTGAGGATCAAACTAATAATCGTTCTACTTCCTGAGCCACAGCAGCTAAACGTAAACACTATTATTGTTCACTCACAGATTATTATTTAAGCAATACACACAAAAAATAAGCCTCGTGTACTGACCCATTCCAGCCTTTCCATCAGGGTAGGTGTAGACTTGTCCATTGTTCTTGATGATGGGCAGACTAGCAGGGATAGAGGGTACCACCTCATCCTCACTGTCGTCTGAGCTAGAGCTGCTGGTGGACTCCTCGCTGCAGCTGTCATAGCCATCAAACATCCCGAATGAGTCTCGTCGCTTACGATCTGAACGTGGGGTACGCTCAGCCTTAACAGATGAGGACACAACAGAGAAACACTGAATGAATTCATATGGATGCTTTTAGGGGTGTCTGTAGCTCAGGAGGTTCTCCTCTCCATTTCTCCGTATAATGTAACACGTTTACTTTGGCGTCGTTCATGGAGAAAGCAGTGAAATTGGTCTAAGAGAAGGTAACTGTTCAGAAAAACATTTCATTCAAATCATTTTATTTTACTCCATTCCTTTTGAGTTATTTTACTTTACTAAAACTCAATAAAAGAAAAATAATTATTTTGAGCTATTGCACTTTATTTTAACGGCTCCTTACAAATGTCCTTGTTCTGTGGTCCTGGAGTTTAGCCACAAAAACTAGCCAAACATTTGTCTTTAGTGCAGAAGAGATGCCCAGTTTATTTATTTATTTATTTTTTTTTTAACAGCGGCGCTCTTATTCAAATTAAATATACCATGGTTTTTAATATTAATAAAATTAACCTTTTCTTTAAACATATAATTAATGGTAAAAGCACAGCAATAATAGTGCCTTAAAATAATTCTTATTACTGTTAATCAATACAAAAAAATTACGATACTTAAAACAAGTTCTGTGAGGGGGCTAGAAAGGGAATATTGCTCTAAGGCATTCTTGGGAGGTAGGAAGGGGAAGCAGACACAGTCTGCAATAGTTGCAAAAGAAATAGTTTGATTGCAAGGTTGATGCTGATGCAAAATATAATAATGGACCAGAAGAAAATAAAGATTCAAATCTTCTTAGTTCACATTTTTATTATTTTTGTAATCAATATTCTTTCCTTTTTTGAGCATTTGTAAGATGTTTTAGACAAATGTCAACAAAAATCAAGTCCCTAAGCTAAATTTTAGTATTGAAGTGACGCTGAACTTATTTTAGTTGAAAGATGCAGTTTTACAGTTCGCCTTTCATCATTAATGCATCATTTAGATTCAGGTAGGAAAACATCAGCGAACCATATCTGAGTCAGCATGACTTTTTTCGAAACGCCCAAACATCGAAATAAATAAATTATACGTGAAAATATGGAAGTCTGATCACAGGATCCGGAACAATGCGTACATGTTGTCAAAGCTAGTTTACTTCCTCTTCACAGCATCTCAGCTCAAACATTACACTACGCACAACAGTTTAAGTTAAAAAAAATATATATATCAAGACACCCATTTCCAAAGACATCCTTCGTAAGCTACATTTTGCATACATATATATTAGAAAAGTAAACTAATACCGAAACTAAAATAAGGGACGGCCTTATTACAAACACCTCCTAAAGCTAAACAGCACTAGCATAGCTAGCTAGCAGAACCTGTTTCTCCAGGTTTTTTTTTTTTTCAGAACAAAGCCTTTTTACGTTCGTCTATTATATAGTTGCAATAGTTAGACTTGTAAGAAAACTCTACTTGTTTTTTTTTTTTCCAGAGAGAGAAAGAGACGAAAGAAAGAGCTTTAGCATTATGTGTAGATGGGTGAGCCACTAGCTGGCTATCGTAAACAGATAACAACAAAGGAGGCGTACTAGCCTGAACAATCCACTGGAAACGGAGGCTCGCGGCCCAAAAATGTTTCAAACCAACTCACCAAATCCCTTGCGTTTTCCATCAGCCCCTCATATAGATGCTCTTCCAGTTACCTGCACTTCCTAATTCAAACAAATCCCCTCACCTGGGGTATAACCTAGCTTTGAATTTTAGTCTAAATACTACCAAGCAGGATATCAACAAATTACTCTGCAGCCTCTGCGCATGAGCGACCGTAACCTACTTTCTTGTGATTGGTGGATCTGCAATGGAGGTCATCGACCGCTGCAGACACAAAATAGTAGACTTCGCAGAGTAACTGAATGAAAGGGGCCTTCAGAACAACTACAGATTATTAGTCGGTGTAAATACAGTAACGTTACAGTGATTTCAATGGTTTTGTTTTGTTTATAACTAGCTCCTGGCTTTCATTTGGAATTTTTCCATATAAAAAGAACTTCAAAATAAAATACACAAGTATTACATGTGAAGTAAAATAAATATTTTATTAGGATATAGTGACATTATTACATTTTCGAAGACAATCTTTCTTGTGAAAGATTTCTACAGTAGATGTAATATGTTCACACTGAACAAAATCTGAGAACCACATTCAACAACACTTTAGCTTTTAACTTCCAAAATATATTCACTTAAGCCTGATAATGGTCATAGTTTTTTTTGATATACATACAAGTATAGCAAGAAACTAAACAATATTAACCACAAACCAACTGAACTTTGCTCCAGTAATTCCAATCACAGTGCTTTTCAGTAATAATACTGGCATTCTAGATTTATTCCTTTCCCTGTTCCTTGAACACAAAATTTACCAAAGCAGAACAAAACATTAAACAAAAAACAAAGAATTATTTGCTGAAGTAACAACAACAAATGGATAATGGCTGGAAGAACTGTGGCACACGCATCAAGTAGGTAAGGCTTCAGGAAGAGGGTTTATGTAATCAAGTTTAGGTTAGGCAAAGCTCTATATCATCATTAGGGCTGATGCTGAGGAGTAGATGTTGAGGGCTGCTAAAGAAAAGTTAATCATTTTTAGACATAATGGTTCACACAAGAGCGTTCACTAGCAAATGTTCAGAATAAGACATCAAACTAGGAGAATATACCTTGGTTTTTTAAAATATCTTTGGTCTCACAGCAACTCGTCCTCCACAACATCATCAACACTTCCTGATATAGAGGCAGCTTCTGAGGTGCAAGAAGGAAACACTCAAGTTAACAATGACTGTAACAGCAGCTTCAACTCTTTTTGTTTATCCACCATGGTACAAAAGCTTGACTGAGAGTCATAGTGACACCGTTCCTTTGTTTCACTATGTTATATTTCCTGATTTGTTAGAGATAAACTACAAATTGCACTGAATACAAGTATTTGGAGTATTAGGGTCAAGTTAATTGATCCTAACTAAAATGTATATTGTGGTGTTCATTTCTTCTTGAGACACTTTAGAAAGTTGATTTAACAGAACTGCATTCCTGTTAATTTTCCACCACATGGGGGCATACACTACCTCTCTGTAGGTTTAAGAAGTGTCCCAAGTCAAGTATCTGATCCAATGTGGACATCACTTGGATATTCTGTTGTATTTAGAAACCTAGATAACATTTTTACTTCAACATACAATCTCAGTAACATAAGGGTATGAGGGTTACTTTATGAACGCTTAAACATAGTCACTGGCAAATCTACAGTTCCATGACAGAACTCACCTGATAAACTAATACAGGAAAGACTGAGCTCTGATGATGCTCCTATTACATCATCCTGTTGGAAGAACAAAAGTGATTAGCCGCTGTTAAACAGTCCTCCAAACTTTCAGAACAGAAGTAAGGGGATTACCTAATCTCTCAGGCATAAAGATAAATTAAAATAATAATAATAATAAAAAATGACAGAGTACCTTGTCGGATACAGTTGGACAGAGATTAATATACCTGACGAGCACATCCAAGAAAACTAGAATGCTAGAATTGCATACCAATAATAAGAAGCAAGATTCTTTATTAATGTCTTCCTTCACATACAGAAGTTCATATAAACTCATGTGCATGAATGTCATTGTAATTCTGGACTTGACTGATGATTTCTTTTAGCTGTTCTTTTTACAAGGGTGGAATAATCATACAGCATATATATTTTATGACATTAAAAAACAAAAATTGGGTCCATTATTTGGAAATCATTTTGGATATTCTCTAATCTGCAAAAGGTAAGAATTATACATATAGTGTCAAATATAAACATACACTCTCACTAATATTTGGTTAACTGTCTCTTAGCAAGTTGTACCTCGTTTAGTAGCCATCAATAAGCTTCTGGCATAATTCTGGCATTTAGTTGCTGATTTGAGTCAAAGAATTTGAAGTTAACCCTCATTTTCAACATTCAATCCAATTTGTGCAACAGTACCACTGGCACAGTGCAGTATAAAGGTACATCAGACCAAGATGAAGTCCCTGTTGCAGGAAACTACAGTGCAGCACTAAGGATCTGGATTTGATCCTGATGAGATGCATGAGGAGCCTAGTCCGGAATTACCCAGTAGTAATAGTCCAAATGGTACAGGTGGAATGGGCCCAGCCAGCTAGAAGACTAAATGGCATCAGTCTTGCAGCCATGACTCACCTGCAAATCATGGCTGCAAGTCAGGGTTGTTGTCAGTCAGTGGAGGTTAACTGAGGGAGTCTGGATTCCCAAAAATTAGAATTCCACAATTATCCAGCAGTTTTGATCTATCTCTCTGTTCAGTGTTGATTTTTCCAGGATTTTTTCCCGCTGACTTACAGACATCCTGTTCAAGATTAAGTATATTGATACCCTATTTTTGTCCAGGAAGAAGTAAGAGACGCTGGAAGACACGAAAAGCAGAATCAGTAACTTACCAGCATCATCTGCAGACAGCCAAGATTGCAGCCCTCTTTTTTTCCATTCAAATCTTCATGGAAGATAACGGCATAGCCCAATCGTATAAGCTCCTCTCCAACATCCACAGCCTTTTTTACATGATATGCACATGGAAAGAGGAGACAGGGTAAAGGACAAACCAAACACAGGCTTATTAAAGTCTTATTATTAAGAAATAAAATCCTATCTAACCTTGCCCTCACTGTTGTCATAGAGCTTGACACTGGGCCATGAGGAGATTTCCGAGTGAGAGTAGCTGCACAGTTTGGCCTGCAGGGGTCTCCAAGAGGCACAATATGTCAGCCTCTCAAACTGATCCAGGGCTTCCTCAGTCCAAACCCCTCCTGCATGACAAGTTGATGGAGGAAAGAGACTGAAATAATCAAGAATTCAAGAATAATGCACTGCAGAATACTAAAAGACCTAAGGGCGTCAGTATATCCTCTGCATTGATTGTGCCACCGTAACATCATCGCACAGTCAGTTTTATTTATGTTCCCCAGTAAGATAAGTCTGAGTGATATAGAAAATGTAGTTTTTTCACTTATGATGGTTAAAATGGCTCTATTGTAACCATCCAGTATAAACTGCCATGGTAATAATAAGCTGTCTGCAGTTTTTTTTCTACCACATGCTATAAATGCATCACTAATCCCACCTCCCAACCAGAAATTTTTCTACCTGGCACACTGCGCTGAGCATGCGTGTTTATATACTACCAAATAGGGAAAAATATGGTGACAGTGAGAGTGTCAGACAAGCAAGGAAATGAGACTGTAACTGAACAGGAGCCAGACAAGATAGTTCCAAGGAGAAACAGCACCTGATCAATAATCTGGCAGTGGTTTGGATTTCCTAAAGAGGATGTCGAACCTAAATGCGGAACGTGGTATTTAGTACTAGTGGAAATGTGGTCACATGTCACTGGGCTTCACTCAAACCTGGAGCTGTTGACAGGCTTGTGTTTTTGACACACACCTTAAACACAGATGACGGTGTTCTTGTTCAGGAGTAATAAAGTCACAATTCTTGATTATACGTTAGCTTCTGTGAATTTTTTTACCGCTTTGCGTGGTGTGGTTTTGTTGTTTAAATTCTAGAACAGGTAGCGCGATCATTATTTAGATGGTTTTGAGATGCTCTAATACCTGTGATATGACTGTTCTTCTTCCGTTTTTTTTTGCAGGCACTGTCTGAACTTGGAACCGTTTTCCATTTTACCACTTTTTGTTGTTTAAACTTCTTAGCACATGTAGAGACAATAGTCCTGAGATGCTCTGATGCCTGTGACAGTTTTTGGTCAATGGTTTTTATAGACACTAACTACACTTTTGTTTCTGTAGGTCATCACGTTTTACAGTTTTTATATGTTATAAGCACAGAGAACACCTTTTTAACTTCAATTGACTCTTGCTTACTTTTTTTTGTTAAAGGGTTAGTGTTCACCACAGAAAGACTGTGAGAATATTGTCATTTGTGAAAAACCTCTGTGTGGAACTGATGGTTAAAAAATGGTTAAAATAAAAAATATTTTTTGGCTATATCACAACACATCATGTGTTGTGATATACAATACACGATCAGACGAAAGAAATGGCCAAAATGGTAATGCCAGTGGATGTGATATGAATTTTATTGCACGACACAGCGTGACAGGAGGTAAGCAGCGGCCATAAAAGTGCCCTTATGTCCTCATGTACCAGCAAGTGTGTGACAAAGTGTGTATAAGTATATATGTGTGTGTGTGCGTTTGGGAAAGAGTGTGTATGTAATGCTGGGCATACACTGTGCGATTTTTGGCTCATTTTGAGCCGATTTTTCAGTCGTGCGACCGTTTTGGTGATTGGCCCAAGTTTCGGCTTCATCGTGTGTCGTGTAGTATACGTGGGGTAACGAGAAGCGATTAACATCTCAGGAGCAGCTCCCGATCATCAATCGCTTGGTCGTGAGAAAATCAAACCTGTTTGAAATCCTGTCGGCCGTCGTGAGGGTGTCACCGCAGCCTCTCACACTGCGCACGCGCAAACACAGAAATGAAAGTGAAAAGACGGAGCAGCACGGCAGTGCAGCGTGAGATCTGGACACAAGCGATGGAGGAACAACTTGTAGAACTTTGGCTCATCCGAGCCTTTTCGATGTGGCCTCACAAAATTATCACGACCACAACATCCGTGAAAATAATTGGATGGACATTGCTGCTCAATCACAGCTGCCTGATCAACGTTTTTCATTAGCAATTTAGCAAAGTTGATGGTGGTGGTGTGCGTGTCTGTGTGACTGAAAGACAGAGAGTGAGAGCGA